GCAGGATCAATGAGGACAAAGGAAACAGCAATAAGACTGCATACAATGCCAGAACTGCTTATGGGGCAAAATGTATGAGCCAGGAGTTCTCATTTGCAGCCCACACACTGACACAGCATCACTGTTTTTGTTCTCACATGTTCACAGTCAGTTACAAAGCCAACAGCACTTGCACGGCAGCTAAAAATGAGTATATATTTTCTCGAGAAGGTGCTACACAGTGGTACTGCCATGTTTATTTTTTAATGCTAATCTTTCTCTCCATAACTTTGATCCAGAGCAGATTCAGGCTCTGTTTCTCATAGGTCCTCATTTTCTCAGTGGGCACATAAATCAAAACTAATAAAATACAGAAGAAAAGTGTCCCAATGAGCATGTAGGGCTTATTAATAGAAGTGTGATAGGTGGTAAACTATTAATTGTGTGACTGATAAATATCTGGAGCAAAATAAAGAGCAGTGATTAAATCTGAGGGTGCATTTTTGTAACAAGTTTCATATTTGATACTATTTAAGCAAGATGGACAAGCACATTTTCCACATTTTGGTACTTCATGAAGTTTGCCTTCCTATATAAAGAGCTCATCTATATTTGTTTTCCACAGACTTCCAAGAATGATGTAGCATCTGAAATTAAAAATACTTTTCAGTAACTATCTTATGAAGGCTGTCACTGATGACAAAACAGGAGAAGGAGAGAATTTTAAGCATGCATTTTTGCAGTTGCACAGAAGTGCAGGTATAGAGGAAATTGTAAATCTCATATATTGTAAAGCTGGAAAACATTTAGTTTACAAACTAGCAGAGAAGAAAAGCATGAGAGAGAGTGAAACACTGTATTCAATGACTATTGAGAAGCAACTCTACTTGTTGCCAAATGTTTTTTAGCTTGTTTATGCGGTTATCTGTTGTGTATGTAAGTTCTTTGATTTTGCATGGGTGACCAAGTAAGAGGCCTCAGAAGCCAAAATCTGGCTTGCTGTCAACAGAGCAATTTTAAATTTCAGCACTGAATCAGTCAAAGTGCAGTTTTGCTCCCACACTAGTTCCCTTCTGGCAGGGTGAGAGCAACTGGATCAGATTACTTATTGCCTCAAAAGGGCATGAATAGTTTGGGCCTAAAAATTAATCACAATAAACCAGTTTTTCTTTATTAGAGGCCTCTTTTCATTACTTTTACTATTACTTTTATTATTGTTGAGCACTTTGTAAAAGGCCTGTTTTTCAAAACACCCACAAAAAACCAATCTGTCCATTAAATTGTCCTATGCCTGCTCAGTGGCCCCAGTGCTTGACAGTTTTAGCTGAAACGTATGAGAGATGTCACTTACATTGCCAGATCATGTAATGGCCATAATTATGCAGAAAAGTACAATTACACCAAAACAGAACATGTTGCTATGCTTTTTGGTCAAAGGATTTTACCTCATCTTGTAACCAGAGTAACAGCTTTGCAGAACAGGAGAATTTGTAAATACAGGGCTGACAGGAACCCTCAGCTGCCTCCTCTCTGGGCCACTCTTTCCATCTGCAGGTCGGGGTTCTCTCTGCTTGTCTAAACTGTCACACAAGATGTGATCACCTACTTTTAAAAACAACTTCAGTATGTAAAACTTAGAAGAAGCTCGCCTTTTTATGGCAAAATAAATAGACACAAAAAACCACTCCCAAATCCAAGCAACCAAACAGAAGATGGAGCCAGAGAGAAGCTTTTAAAGCAAATTGCCAGAGATGATGGGGAACTCGGTTTGCTCCAACTCCTGAACTCCAATCAAGAACTGCAGATAAGGAGAAAGTCCTTCAGGACTCTGGTGCAGTATAAGGGCACGGAAAGAGGCTCCACTGTGTGTGAATGTAGCACAGCTGCTTCCCCAGACAGACAGGGTGTTCTGTCCTCACCCTGCTGCTTAGAGGCAGGGAGCCCAATTCTGCTCTACCCCAATCAAAAGAGGGAAAATCAGCCGGCCTCAAGAACAGAAAGGCCAAAACTAACAGAAGGATGGATGTTTCATTTACTGTGGTGTCATGCCAGAACACCAGAGTAAGGGAAATGACACTAAGAACCAAAGATGAGGTAATATTACTTTGATATAAAGTAAGCCGCATCTTTCAGCTTTTCATTCTGTCTTACCAGTGGCTACACTCTTCCAAGAAAGTTCACATAAACCAAGCCTACCTACTAGGCAAGAAATGATGTCATCATCACCTTTAAATGATGTCATCATGTAATTTTTGCAATTTCCTGCAAAAAACAAATACCAGAGGAGCATCTTATAATTCTTAATCCTACAACATTTTTTTTAACGCAGAAAAATAACTGAATAAGCTTGCTTTTCTTGGCTTCAGATTCAGATACAAAATTGTCCTGCTTTCAGTCCTAGCAATATTTTTAATCCATGCAATCTGACCTGAAAGCTATGACAGAAAATGAAAAAAAGTTATTCTAGGAAGTATTTATGAGATTTATTTGCTTGATTTTTCTTTTCAGTTATATGGGGAAACACTTTTCTAAACTACCCTAGTTTTGCTTCTCTAAGTTCTCATTAAACTTGATGTCTACAGCAATTCTAGCTTTGTCTGAACAGACACACAAGACATGCTACCAACTTTCTGTCATTATAGGAAAATTGTTTTTTAAAGGTATTTTATTGTTTTGTGTGACAGTGGTAGACCTGGGAGAACACTCAGGTCTTGCTGGTAATTTCCACGCCTTTTCCACCATCACAATACTCTTTAAGTCTGTCAGTGAGAATGCAAGAGGAAGCTCCAGGTTCTCACTTTGAAATCATTCTATTTCTTCTCTGTCTCCCATACTCCTTTCCCCAGGTTTCCATACATTACTTTTTCCTCCATCAGTCTTAGAAAAATTGCTTTTGTGTGCCATAATTTCTCAACCCTATCTCCCTATCTCATCAGGGAGAGTAGAGCGCTGACCTCAAGTTTGCACACCTGGTAAAATGATGTACTAAACCTCAGGACACCTTTCTATTATTCAACTACTTCCCTGGTCTTGCAGAGGAAATCACCATTACAGATAAGCTTTAAAAAATGCTCTCAAGAATTTTATCTTGAATAGCCACCAGAATTCTGGAATTTCTCTTGCATTGTGTTGTCTCTTTTTTTTTTTCCTCTCCTTCCTTTCTCCCCAAAGGTTAACTTATTTCCAAAGACCAACCATTTACATAAAGCATATATTTGATTTTATCACATTACTATTTCACTTCAGTCCAAAATGTATACCTGCCTTTTAGTGTTTTTCTCTAAACAGTGTCTTTAAAACCTTGAAGGAATAGTGGAACCTGGCACTGTTTAAGGATATAAGAGAGACAAGGGAAGATGATTGGGAAGAGGCAGCTGAAATAACTCCTTCCAGTCCCCTGACCCGCACCTTTGCCTATCAAGACACTCATTTTCTCAACTAGTTTCTTCCTTAAAAGCCTTTTTGGAAAATGAATTCTGGGTCTCCCAAGAGCCTGCACTGCAGCCTGCTGTCTCCAGCACACACTCAGCCCCTGTTTATCTGGCAGTGATCCAAAATGCCTAATCTTGAGAGCAAACTATTGCAAGGTCAGTAGACCTTACCAGACTTCAATTTAAAAGACATTTTTAGATATATTCTGAAAACTAACAAGTGTATCAATCTTCAGAAAGTACCTCATACCTCACCAAGCAGTGAGACAAGCATTTCTATCTGTAGGTCCAGCCTAGGACTGCAGGATCATCCACAGCAGAAAGAGGGTGGGTCTTGGACTCTTCAACAGTAGCTCCCTTCTAAGAATGATGAGAAAGAGATATTATCTAGTCCAATCACACATCCTCAGGGAAACAGTTTGAGACTGCAGAATCATTTCCTGTAATCCAGCTGCTGCTGACCAGACCTTTCCCTCTAAAGTACACTTGTGGACCTGTCATGTTTAGTTGAGAAAGCTTAAATGTTTTAATGTTGTCCTGCAGACACTGCTGGTTTGTTTAAGAGATTACTAAATATGGTGAAATTTCATTTCTGTCACCAGGAATTGACTTTATCTTTCCTCTGTTGCCTCTGTCTACTACATAGAAGTGTGAGTAGGCAATCAAGATTTGTCCTATTGCAGATACTGCTGTGTTCTACTCCTACAAAAAGAATTTAATCTCCCAATCATGGATTTTTTTCATACCTGACTTTTTTTTTTTTCTTCTTTTTCAGGAAAACCACTGCTCATTGGGCTTAGTGTGGGTAAATGTAAAGTTGCAGCTGAAATAGCGCTTTCCAATCTGCTGACAACTTCTGCAATGTAGGACAGCAGCTCAGACATTGAGCATGATTTTCCAGAATCTTTTGAGACAGATTATGAAAGTTTGGCATATGCCTCGGGAAGAAGCTGCACTGGTTTCAGCACAGAGCTTTGGGCAAGTGATCTGACTTTCCTGGAACTCAATGAATCTGTCAGGAAAAGCGAGTGAAAAGAAGGCGCTTGATGAAAACGAGCTGCTGGAAGTCTGCTGCGTTTCCCTTGGGAATAAGCTTTCTGAAAGGGAATTTCTGCTGGCGCCGCGGCGCAGCCCTACCTGCCAGCGTCCCTGTCTAATGCAGCAGCAGAAATCCCATGTTTACCTTCAGTCCCAGGAAAAACTAAGACAGGAGAATGTAAATACAGGGATGCAGCTACTTTTGCGCAACATTCCGCTTAATCTTTACTCGTGTTGGGTTTTATTTTCGCCCGGCAGCCACAGCAGCGTGGGACGGACCGCACGGAGCCGCACGGTGCCGACAGTCCATAACCGGGCACGGCTCAGAGAGGGGCGCGCTCCCCGGGCTGCCCCCGGCGCTGAGAGGGCAGCCCTGACTGGAGAGGAGTGCTCCCACCGCCGCCGGACCGCAGCTTTCCCTTCGCCAAAGCGCCGCTCCACAGCCCCGCTCTGCGAGATGGCGGCGAGGGCCGCCATTTCCCGCCCCTCCGCGCCCCGCGCCCCGCCCCGCCCCGCCCGGTCCGGCCCTGCCCGCTCGGGGGCGGCGCCGCCGCGCTGTCCCCGCTTCCCAGGGAGCGCCCGGCTCCGGCAAGTCCCTCCTCCGCCTCGGCACTGCGGGCCGCCTCCCTCCCTCCCTCCATCCCTCCCACGGCCGTAGCCTCCTCCGGCGGCAGCGGCGGTGCCCGCCGGCCCCATGGCGGCGGAGCCCCAGCCCAAGGCGCTGACTCGCAAGCCCCTCCTGCTGAACAAAGTGGAGGGCTCGCAGGATGTGGTGAACATGGCAGCGATAGTGCCCAAAGAGGACGGGGTCATCAGCGTCTCGGAAGACAGGTACCGGGAGCGGGTGTTCGGCGGGGCCGCGGCGGGGGTCCGTCAGCTCCCAGCCCTGCCGCCGGTGATGGTGGCAGCGCTGGGCCCGCGGCGCGGGGTCCTGACGGTGATCCCCCGTCCCCGGCGGGTCCCTCCGCGAAGGGCTGGGGGAGGCAGACCACCAGCATCCTTGTGCCACTGTAGACTCCACCGCTCGGAGCCCGGGCTAGCGTCAGGGTGGCGGTGGTCCAGCATGGGGACATTGCTTTCGGCAGACGCATGACGTCCCGGAGGGGAAGGAGCCAGGAGCAGGGTCGCGAAGTGTCGCGCTGTGGGTCAGGACAGTGACCGGGCTGGGGCGCCGCTGAAACTTGCAGGACCTTGAGTGACTTTTCTTAGCGTGGGAAAAATGGGATTCGAGATCCCCTTCATCACGAGGATTGCCGGGCAGTCTGTGGAGATCTTTGACCTTGCCTGAACATTGTGGTGGTATTGGCTGAAACAGTAGTTTTGGTTCCCGTTTCCCCTCTCCAAACGTTTCTTGGTAATTGTTTAAAAATACCATGTATCGGCGATAAGATCTTGGAGTTAAATCCCGTGTTGAAAAGCTGCCAAGGAGGAGAATGCTTTCAGGCCCTTTAGCAGGGCTTTGCAGGGACTGAGGCTGCCCAGGGGCAACTCTGGCTCTTCTGAAAGAGCTCAAAGTTAATTCAGCTCTGCAGCTTCAAAATTCTATCTTGGAAATCTTTTATTTCAAAATAAGTGCTTATTTTTCTTGCAGCCTCTATAAATAGTTATTTTAGGCGGGGTTTCTTTGCAGCTCAGGTGTACTGTGTAACCTGTGTCCTAAGATTGAAAGACACATGTAGTTGACCAGCACGTCAATATGTTTTGATACTCACAGGTATTTGGATGGACTGTTTCTCATGGATGCCTGTTCTGTTGAGTGTCTACTTTTATGTCTCTGCAGGCTTTCTGAAAAACTGACAATATTTTCTTTCATCTTTGACCTCACTGTGACTTAGTTTTCAGCTGTCAAATATGTGCAAATTTAGGATCATTTAAGTTCACCTAAGCTGAGGTCTCCAAGTGAACTCTCATATGCCTGCTTGCAGGAGGAGCTGATCTACTTAAAACAAGTATAAGGTCAAAGGAACCTTCAAGTAGAGTTTTACATTGTTATGTGATCACAATTTTATTGTCTTCACATTTTTTATGTATTTAAAGTGACGTTGAATAAAACTTGAGCTTGTTTTTGTTCATTGTAGCTTGTTAGGCTTACTTAGCCAATTCTTTTTACCTGTAAGAAGGTATTCCTGAACTTTATTTCCTCTCATATAGATGTCTCTCTCAATCTCTGCATCTTCCCTCACCTTAGCAAAAATACGTAACTTTACTAGTTGATGACAGGTTGATGCTCCAGTTTGATATTTCTATGTAGGGAAGGGGATTGATGAGACATCTTTATTTCCACTGAGATGTCAGCTTCCATAAGCAAGCAGTGACGAAGAAGTGAGGAGTTTCACACTAGGAAAGTCTGGAGGTTCCCCGGCTATTTTCTGTTTAAAGGAATTAACCAGGTAATGTGCCTGCTTGCGGGACTTGTTTGCAGCATCCTTGACATGCTATGACACAAGCTGTGATCCTGCCTTTTATTTATTCAGACATGAAGATGTTGGTTGATGGGTCTCTCATTTCCTGCTTGTATTAGCATTTCTATTGTAATTAAAAGATTAAGAGTCTAAAACTGACTTGGAAGAGTAGGAGGTTGGGAGTCTAACTTGCAGGTTTTAGGCTACCTGGGGTGAAGGCATAATTTGTCAGACTTTCAATACCCGTGTATTATGATTAGGCTTGTGCAGATCCTTATGGCACCTTTTCCTGTTTGGACCTGCCTTCTCCTGTCAGTGTTGACGTGGTTGTTTAATGGCCACAGAATGTGAAGGGCTCTTAAAGCTTCCTGGAAACTGTTAAAGATGGTTATGGAGATGTTATCTGTCCTTTTACTTGTTAACCAAATAAGTGAGTTTTGTCCACATTCCCCAGCATGTGATATGCACTGCTCCCATGAGGAAAATGTTCTGAAACCTCTGCAGAGAACTTCAGCTGGAATGACTTGACATCTCCAGCAATTGCTTCAGGCTGGGAATCTTCTGTACCTGAAGGAGGAATTGTTTTGCTGGTGAACGGCTGAACACATCACTATTGAAGTTGCTGGTAGTCTTTGCATACCCAACAGCTAGGTGCCACTTTAAAGATTTTCTTTGCTGCATGATGTGGCCCTGTGCACCTAAACCTTTAAAAGCAGGAGCTAGCTTGGTGTCTGGACCCAGTTTTGTATGGCACCAGTGGTGTTATCTGGTTTTAAAAGACGCAAAAGTGGTTTTAGCTTTGGCTGGCAGGCATAGTCATGGATTATATAGCCATGCATGTTTGTAGCACATACGTGTATATATTTTAAGAAATAAAATTAAAACTATGTAATAATAGATAGTGTGGTTATTCCTCATAAAGAAAGACAAAGTAGGGGGAAAAGAAGGAATTGGGGGGAGCGGGGGGTGAAGCAGGTTTACGTATTTAACTAGATTCTCAAAACTTTGTATACCCAACAGGGCTACAGTTTGTTTTTAGTATGTGTCATTTGTACAGGTGATGCACATAGATTTTCTCTTCTGAATCCTGGTCACTTGTGATAATTGAATGATGTTCATTGTGTCCTAATCTTAGTGGGTTTTCTAATTCTACATCTAGGCAAAATAGACTGAGCCTGTATCTACAATACAGCTGGTATGCCTTGGAGGGATAAGGTATTTTGTGTTTTTCTTCTAAGAAAAAGGATGCACCTGTCCAGACAGGTGAGAGTTAAAATAGTGACAAAATTTGATATCCAGGAATGTGTAAATCTAATGCAGGATGACTCTTAAGAAGTTATTAGCTTTCATCCATGCTCTTTCCCTGCCATGGAATCAACAGAGATATATGTAGAGTCTTGAGTGATCCATAGCAGTGTATGCTCATGTGGAGCTAGAGTGGGGTTTTCCTAATGTGCACAGCTGATCCTAAGCTGTCATCATCTTCCTCAGTGTTAAAAGCATGCACTTCTGTTTCAAAGTTGCACAGCATCCTTGTGTTTTGTTGCCTTCAGAGGGAGATGTGGGTGTTGGGCATGTCTGAAAAGTAGGTCACTGGCATGTCAAGTTCAGACATATCTAACTCCGTGCTCCAGAGAAGATTTAGTGTCATTAATCTTACCTGAGCATGGATACGGTGGGACAAGGGCACTGACTCACCCAGCTCTCAGTGCAAGCAGTTCTCCTGGTGCTGGCACACTTGTGTGTTTCTCAAGAGCCTGAAGAGCCTGCCAGTGCTGTGAGTGCCAGTTCAGCTGGGCCTCTAGAGGTGCTGATCGTGTGTCACCCATGTGCTGATCGTGTGTCACCGTGCGAGACTGGCAGGAGGGGCTGGGTGTCATCGCGGTAAACCTGCACTTTGCCAATAGCTCTCTTTATACCCCTAGCTGGATTGTAAGTGAGGAAAACTTTACAGAGGCTGGTGTAAACAGCTTTCCTGGTAATTACGAACTCTGGTCTGTGCCCTCTTGTGGGTGGGAGTTCTGTGCTCACTTCCATGCCACACACCTCCTAAATGTACATGTTGCAATCAAGAACTGTTCTCCTTGAACTGTTAACAAGAAGTAAAAGTTTTCACAGTCAACTGAAAACTGTCAAAATCCTTTTATTTTAAAAATGGGCATTCTAGTCTCTTGGTGACAAGATATAGGAGAAAAATATTTATCCCTTATCACATAGCTTTTTTATTTTATTTTTTTTATTTTGTATTAAGGGAGTAGAGACCTTTGTCTTCTCTATTACCTTGTATTATCTTAAGTTCTTTTTGAACTCAGTTGTCTCAGCTTCTTCATAGGGATTACTGAATATACAGTGAGCCCAGACTGCCTATCTTATTAGTGTCTTCATGTCACATAGAGAAAACTATGCAGAGTTTTGTATTGCCAGGTTTGGTTTACAGTTTGAGGATTTTAAATACAGATGTGCACTTCAGCTGTTGTCCAAGGCTTGTGTTCTGGTTGTGCTAACGTGCAGGATTTTTAGGGGGCATGACAACTTCATGTCCATCTTGTGTGAATGAAAATCTCTTTGCTAAACTAACAGTGGACTGGGAATGGGAATATGTGTATGTGACAAGAAATGTCTGAGTTGGACTGGGAATGGGAATATGTGTATGTGACAAGAAATGTGGGAGTTGGACTGGGAATGGGAATATGTGTATGTGACAAGAAATGTGGGAGTTGTCTTTGGCTTTGTGCTGACACGACTTCTAACATAGAGAACCATGATCTTTCCACCCTCAAGTATATCAAAAGCAATCTTTTTGTCCTTGTGGTTTTTCTGTCCAGATCCAGAACATTGAGCATACAGTGTCATAGTTCATGCCTGTGAAAAAGCTCTGATGGAAAGGTGGGATTCTTCACACAGTGCTGTATTCAAGCAGGGTGCAAGGCCCACAGACCCTTGGTAAACTGAATTTCCTTTCTCCTGTGGTGGAAAGTGATTGCTTTGCCCAGCAGTGTGGTTCCTGTACAGGTCTGTAATTGTTATCTAAGCACAGGGTTACATCACTGATTTCTCCTCTGCCTTGTGTGTGGCTGTTGGTTCACAGCAGAAGTGCAGGTGCTGTGAGAACTGATTTTGATGCTGTTTGCGTGTGTTTATCAGTCTAAGCCTGTAGGTTTCACACCCAGGTGATTGCAGTATGAGCAGTAGCTCAAGCAAGGCAGAAGGTGTGGATGCTCTTTTCAAGTGTAAAAGGACTTGTTCCTGCCAGGAGGTTCTTTAAATTTTGGTAAAAACATCAGTCACCAATAAAATTGTTGATAGGAATTGAAGAGACCTATTGCCGTAGATGGAATTTGGTTGCTCTCTTATTTTGTGTGTGTTTTTAAGCTAAGTTTTTTGGATATGTCGTAATTAGATGAGTATGTGTTTGGAATAAAGGTCAGG